TAATCCCAAACGGACATTTTAAATTTAACCATTTAAACAAATATTACTCAGCAAAAATATGGCAATGAAATGTGATTCTTCAGCAACGTACTTTTCATTGACTAGTACATACAGCATGCATCACCTAGAAAAAGTTTCGTAATGACTTACAAATAACTATATACGTATGTGCTTTCATTTTAGCCACGCCATTTTCGGATTTTGTTTTTTAATAACTATGTTTGTAAGCGATCCAAGTACTTTCTTGCACTTTAACACCAACTGAACTAGAACTGAACTAGAACTGAACTAGAACTGAACTAGAACTGAACTAGAACTGAACTAGAACTGAACTAGAACTGAACTAGAACTGAACTAGAACTGAACTAGAACTGAACTAGAACTGAACTAGAACTGAACTAGAACTGAACTAGAACTGAACTAGAACTGAACTAGAACTGAACTAGAACTGAACTAGAACTGAACTAGAACTGAACTAGAACTGAACTAGAACTGAACTAGAACTGAACTAGAACTGAACTAGAACTGAACTAGAACTGAACTAGAACTGAACTAGAACTGAACTAGAACTGAACTAGAACTGAACTAGAACTGAACTAGAACTGAACTAGAACTGAACTAGAACTGAACTAGAACTGAACTAGAACTGAACTAGAACTGAACTAGAACTGAACTAGAACTGAACTAGAACTGAACTAGAACTGAACTAGAACTGAACTAGAACTGAACTAGAACTGAACTAGAACTGAACTAGAACTGAACTAGAACTGAACTAGAACTGAACTAGAACTGAACTAGAACTGAACTAGAACTGAACTAGAACTGAGAACAGAACTAGAACTGAACTAGAACTGAGTTAAAATTGAACTAGTACTGAACTAGAACAAATTGTAGTTATTCAGTAAAATACTTTTCAATGACTACTAAATAGCATATACATTACTTTTAAGTAGTATAGTAATGACTTACATATAATCAAATATATACAAAACTACTTATTTTTATACATTTGTATTTTGTATTCTTATATAACTACATATGCATTTGTAATGGCTTATTTCAGTCCCTATTTGTAAGCGATCGTGGTAAGTACTTGCGATCAATACCATCGCTATGTAAAAATAATAAGTTAAAATGTCTAAATAGTGACTTTCAATACACGTTTTTGCTGCGATAGTGTATTTTAAAGAAAATCTAATAAATAGTACTTATTTATTAACAACAACAAGAAAAAAATTTCTAAAATTTTCTGTGATTACGTTTGTTAATGCCAGAAGTATCATTTTATCTTCTTAAAGAGTTATTGCAAGAAGTGGTATTGTTATTGGCTAATGCTGTTAGTAGTGTTGTCAACGTTAACACTATTCGTACTATTTTTGTTGTTATTGTTGTCATAGCAGTTTTATTAAGTTCCTGTTGTTTAATTGTTTAGTTGGTTGGATGGTTGGCTGACTGCTTGACTTGTAATACGAATTTCAGTTGGTCTTTCTCAAATTGCAATTGTTTGCTGATGCTGTTGATTGTTGCTGCTATTGTTGGCCATTTCTAAATGATACTACTGCTGCAGTTGCTGTCAAAAAGTGAAATTATGTGAAAGTACCAGTTTCAGTTTTGAATTTATTTTGTTTTTCATTTCTTTTTGTGTGTACTTTTGCTCGAAGGGCTCAGATTGTATTACTATAGTTGTATTGTTTTTCTCTAGTAATTTTTTATATAATTTCTTTTATTTTTCCATTTTTCTAGTCTTGTTAGTTGGTCATTATATTTTCCCAAACAACAACAACAAAGAAAAAATAGAGAAAATTTTCCAAAGTTTCAGTTTTCATTTAAAGCTGATTATATTGTCAACAGGTTTGTTTGTTAAATTTTCATTTAAGTTTTTTCTTTTCTTATATTTGTTTATTCTTTTTTATCATTGCAATTGGAATAAAGTAAATAATTTGTGATGAAAAAAGAAAAAATACTGATGTTGACAAGAATTATGAAATGGCAAATACAGCTTACGGACAAGAAATTTTTGCATAAAATATTTTGTTAAGAAAACATTTTGATTTGTGGTTTAAAATTGAGAAGAGAAAAAAAGTATAAAAATTATTCTGTGTTTTGAGAATAATTTGGCAAGATTAAAATTTCTATAAAATAATGCAAGGAAATGTTAGAACTTTAAATAAAACACATAACTAGATTATTGATAAATAATTCCGAGACTTTTTAGAACTTGTCAGTTCTTGAATGTAGAAAGTTCTTTAAGGTTTTGTATAAAAGAGAAAATATTTAAGATTTAAGAAGAAAAATTTATTGAAAATTTTTAGCCGCTAAAAAGTCTACTTAATTTCTATAAAGGGAAAACATAATGAAAATTAAGTTTTTCTAAAAGATTTTTTTTTTTTGAAAACAACAACTTTTTTAGAAAATATTCTTTAAGAAAAAAATTTATAAAAAAAGCTATTTAAAGAAAATTTATTGATTATTTTCATAAAAATTTTACATAAATTTAATAATATTAAAAAATCTATTGAAAATATTTTATAAAAAGAGAATTTATTGAAAATTTGCTATAAAAGGACAATTTATATACATTTTTATAAAATTAAGATTTGAAGGAAATTTTCTTCTTATAGAAAATTTCAATAAACTTTATATAGAAAATTTTCTATTAAAATTTGCAGAAAATTAGTTTATAAAAAAAGAGTTTTTAGAACATCTTCTATAAGTAAAAAATATTATAGAAAATTTTCTATAAAAAGAAATTTTATAGAAATTTTTCAATAAAAAGAAATTTTATAAAAAAAATTTTATAGAATTTTATAGAAATTTTTTGTAAAAAGGAATTTTAATGCAAATGAAATGAAAAAAAGGCATAGAGAATGCATCGAATATTTACTATAAAAGAAAATTTATAGAAAATTTTTTATAAAAAGAGTTTTTACAGAAAAGTTTGTATAAAAAGAATCTTTCATAAAAATAAAATTTATAGAAAATTTTCTATGAAAAGAAAGTTTACAGAAAATTTTCTGTAAAAAGAAAATTTAGAGAAAATTTTCTATAATACTGGAAATTCTTGGAGGTCAAAATGCTGAGCTGGGCGTGGAAAAATGGGATGTCTTTTACATGAAAGAAGAGGAACTCTATTTGTAATAGGTATCGACCAGAACTAGTCTAAAGGTCTAGTCTAAAGGTAAAAAAGAACACTAAAAAACCTAAGACCACAGCATCAGTAGCCACTACTGATAACGTTGAGGAGTCAAATCCTAAAAGCAAGGAAGTTATCACTAACTCACCAGAAAAAAGTGCAGCTACCTTTTCCAAAATTGGGAAGGCGCCGATTGAAAGGGCTTTTAAAACCGGCCTCGACAAGGACACTAAAACACGGCACCATTAGCAAGTCCTCATGGATTTCCTTAATACTAAAGACTTGATCACACTGAACTTAGGCAATAAAGCAATATTCGTCAATAGAATCACAGAAGAAGTATAAGATATAACTATATTTTTAGAAGAGCTTATAAACGATCAGGATTGGAAAGTTTTAGACTAGCACTCCTTTTCTGACCATCGGTACATAAGATTCAAAGTACTAAAGCCACCAACAAAGCCGAAGTTTCGGAATAAGTCTAAAACTATTTTGACAATGTTCGGAGCCTTACTAAAGAACCGTATAGGCCAGGATACTTTTCAATGTCGAAATATAGAGGATATAGACACCAAACTAGAAACGTTCACTAGTGCCCTGGTTAAATCGTTCGAGGACAGCTGCCCTCTGGGAGAGCGGAGATCTGCTCAGCAGAAACCCTGGAGATCCGGAACCTTAAGAAGACTCTTCTTAAACAATTTAACAGCGTAAAAAGACCGCAATAGTGAATAATGGTGAATATAGGAAAATTGTTCGAAAAGCCAAACAAGACTCCTGGAAGCATTTTTGTCAACAGGTAGATAGCGAAAATGATGTATCGAAGAAAAAAAGTTTCTATGAAAATAAAATTCATTGAATTCTGTAAACAAATCTATCTATCTATAATTTTCCAAAAAAATAAAAGTTAGTAAAAATTTGCAATCAAACAAATTTTAGAAAATTTTCTATAAATAGAAAATTTAAATAGAACATTTTTTAAAAAAGAAAATTGTCTACTGGACGCTCCATTGGTTAGACTTGAGTGAAAATAACTGTATTTTACGGATGCACTGACTCTTTTTCGAACTGCCGGGTAATGCCAAACTTTGAATTAAATATGTAATATAAAAAAAGTATATGTATTTTTTTAAGGTATTAAAATACCTCATTTATTACATAATATTTCTAGGAAATCATGTTTAACTTTAAACCACTTAAAAAAAAATAGTAGTCAACCCACAAAATATTTAAATACAGTTTCTCTTTAAACCAAAAAAAAAAAACATTGTACAAATTACAAAGTTCAAAAAGTTCAAATGTTGTGTAAACATAATTGTCATTGTAAGAGACCGACAACAGCGTCATCAGTGCAGCCCCCCTTTTTAAGATGTAACAACAAAATAAATTTGCATTTTGTTTTAAAACAAATTGTTTGCTATGGGAAGTTAAGAAAACATACAAAATTAAATGGAAAAGTAAGACAAAAGACAACATCAAAGGTTTTGACATATAAACCACAACGCAAATATTTTATTTTTGTGTGTGTTTTTTTTTTTTTTTTTTGCACGAAAATGTATAAGGAGTAGTTATTTGAACAGCTACTGACAACCCCAGAATTATATAGTTTTATATATTTGTTACGAACAGTAAAGTCAAGAGTATTAGTAATTGTATGGTTTTGGTTAATAAATGAATACCTGTCATTGTCATTTATTGTAGCAGCAGCACTAATATACTTCAACTTCCCCCCAAAAAAAATTATACATAATCAAATTGTGTGTTTACGAATAGAGTGGGAAAAACCACATTATTAATTTTTAGTAAATGCTAGTCAATTTGATTTTTCTTTTTAAATATTTATTTAGAAAAAAAGCTTTCAATTACTTACCAAATTTAAAGTAGTTTTTGCAGCCAGGTAAAAGACATTACGATACTTGAAATTTTGAAAAACTTGCTGGAAATAAAAATTAAAAGCCAAAATTAGATTAGAGCATTTATGGAGGAAATTAGTAGCATTTTTAAAAGTAATATTAGAATTTTCCAACATTTTCTTTAAAGTGCTTAGGTTTTTTCCAACAAAATTTATAAACATTTAAAATTTTTATAAATACAATAATTTAAACATTTCCAATATTCTCGTTGGCATGCTTAAGTATTTACTTGCATTCCTTAAAAAAAAAAAAACATTTCAAATATTTTACAAATTGAGTTATTTAAAACTTTTTAAATACCACAATTAAACAGTTGCCTTAAAATCTATAAATGGTTATCATTAATTTTCTAATTATATAAAAATAACTTAAAAATAAACCACATTATCGGTAATCATTCAAAAAATAAACCAAAAAGAGTTAAATAACAACTTTCAAACCATTGTATAAAGAGATTAATTTTATTGTTATAATTAATTAAACAAAATTTGCTATTAAATCACAAACATTAGGAAAACAGTTCTACTTTTTTTAAATCGCATTTAATTAATCAAAATCTCAACTAACAGTTGATATCCTTATGATGTCCGTCGTTACTGCCTGCCTGCCTGCCTGCCAAACATACATCTATTTTAAGTCACAGTCTTCTTCTCAGTATCTTGCCTTTAGGCAGAACAAATTGGAAAAGGAAAGGAAGCTGAAAGAAAAAAATTATGCCTGAAACAATAACCCATCACCAACAGCAACAGCTCCAGCTATGGCAGGAGCAGAAACAGTAGCATCAGTATCATATTTTAAAAGAGCTGTAGTACAACAATAGCAACGACCGCTTTAGCAACCAAAAAAAATATGTATAAATCATTTAGTACTAAGAAAAAATTATTTCAAGTAATATTGTACTTCATTTATTTGCCATAAACAACAGCATAAGGATTGTATTTAGTACATGAGGAGGGATAAAAAAAGTTGGTACTATTTAGAGGGTACTATTTCGATAAAATCTTGTTATTATAACAATCCAGCAAAAAAACTCACTAAAGGCTTGTACTTACATAACTACTTACTTTTCACTTACTGCAACTTACCGTTTGCATTACTTTTAAGCAATCTTATAATGACTTTTATATAATCAGATAAGTAAGTACTTTATTTTGAGATTTGCCGTTTTATTTGCACATTGAACACACAGAATGAAAATAGCTTTTAAGTGAAAACTATTATTATAGTGAGTAAGAGAGCGAACTAACGAACAAGAGGCCTGAGTTCGTATTCTGTTTTTTTTATTTTTTTTTTTAAACAACTTTAGAACTCTTTTTACTTTTCTAAGTACATATTTAAGTAGTGATTTGTAAGCGAGCGTTGTAAGTACTTGCCTCCAACTCCATCATCGTGTTGTAATAATGAGTTAAAATACTAATGAATAAATAGCAAAAACGGCCTTTTTAGCTTTTTAACTCATTAATTTTCAATATAAGTTTTTGTTGGGAATGATTAGCTTTTTTGTTCTTTTAAGCACACTTTTTAGTACCTAAAAAAGTACTATTTTCAAAATTCCCTTCTAACAATTGCAAATATTTAACATGCATCCCTTTACAAAAGAAAAACATGGAAAAACAAGTAAGAAATTATAGTCGGGCGAGTCCGACCATATATATACCCAACACCAGTTATAAAAATAAAATGTGATTTAGTGTTCATAATAAAACATTTAACTTGAATTGTACCTTGCCTCAGATATACTTGGGTTCATCGGGTTCAGTTGTATGGGGGCTTGGTGAAATAATGGACCGATCATAACTATTGTCAATAGGTTGCGTCCCTGAGACAATAGAAGATCATGTATCAAATTTCATTGAAATATCTTTAAAATTGCGACCTGTAGTTTGATTACAATATTTACATGGACGGACGGACAGGCGGACGGACATAGCTCAGTCGACTCAGAAATAATTCTAAGCCGATTAGTATAATTCAAGGGTGGTATAGAACCAATATTCTTGTGCGTTACAAACAGCAGCACAAACCCAATACACCCCCTTCCCATTGAAAGTGGTGTAAATAGATACTAGTGGAGTATGGGTCTAAAGAGAACCGGAAACAGTAGTAGAATAATGGCAAACAGAGAGAAAAATTAAATCTTAATTATTATGAAATCCTAAAGGCTCACTTGACTTAATGATTGTTATACATACTACTTGTGGTTTTTCTATTTGTTTTATTATTTTTTATATGTATATGTATGTATTGTTTTGTACTTGTTGTATTTTATTTCAAATGCTGAGATTTTCTAATACACAGACAACTAAACAAATAAACAAGAATGCCAATACACAGAAATTTCATACAGCAATATACCCAACAATACTGGTGACTAGTCCCCATACTGATGATTACAGTTCACTTCATTTAGTTTAATTAACTATAAACAAAATATCTGGCTACGGAGAGTTGTCTAGGTATCCATGGAAATTCTATTAAGTCTATTTTTTTTTTTGTAAAATATTTTCTAAAATTTTATTCGTTGTTAAATTCCTTTCGAATAAACGGTGTCAATCTCAACATAAACTCAACTGCAGGATATTTGATAGGTTGTTTTATACTTCAGTCAGTTTGTATTATGTACGCCTGCCTGATTGTTTTGATAGCGAATGGGAAAGGGGGGAATACTTTGAGAAATAATTTTGAAATAATTGTTATAGACTAAAGAATATGTACCACATAAATCAATTTAATTGAAATTAATGATCAACATTACTGTATTTTTTTAACAGCAAAGAAATCCTTATAATTTTATACATGTATACAGACAGACTAAAAATAATATTTATACAAAAGAAGAAAAGAGAACTCGAAATGGGTGAAAATATAGCACTACACCACTATAGTAACAACCATGAATATATTCTTAGTGTCTGGCTGGCCGATTTTTATAGTAATTGCTCCCCATTTTACCGTCGCACCATTAATAAAACATCCATAAACATCGAAATCAAGGTAAAATTCAATCAAAATAAAAACATTTTAAATTCAATCACAGTGATCCAGTGTCCAGTCCAGTGATTAAATTATAAATTTTATGAAATTATATAAAATTCTTTTACAAATATGTTTTATAAATGATTTAAAGTAACTCATATGCTATTATTGTCAATAACTCCTTCTGTTTATTTGTTTCTAAACTAAAAGTATTATTGCTGTAAATTGTATGTAATTTTTGTAATGCAATAAAGAACTTAAATTTAATTAAACAAATGTTTTCATTTTCCGGGTTTTTCTAAAGATTTCAACAAAAACAATACACAAACACACACTTAAACTGAGAAGGATAATTTCAAATAAATTATATTTAGGACATAGATAGTTGGTGAATTGCACAAAGTAAGACAAATAATAAATAACTTATGGCAAATACTAGGAAATAATTTATATTTATATACAATTTTCTAAAATTTTCCATTTCAAAAAGTATTTACTGTTTTTCTCAAATTACTTTATTTTTTGATATTGTATTTAAAGTGAATAAATATTTGTATATTTATTTCTAAGTATATGTTTTTTAGGGTTTTGAGATTTATCGGACTAATTTATTTCCTGAGAAAATTATGTTTTGAAATTCTCGTAACCAGAATTTACACAAAAACGCACTACTCTTAGTAAATTAACCTTATTGTTTAATTTATAAAATTTCCAAACAATAATTGGGATTTTGAACATGACCCTCTTCGATTTCGACGACATTCGGTACATACATTCTGCATACGAAATTTAAGGTTCTCCAAAATTTCCAAATTAGTTACAGTTTATGTTTAATCGGCGTTCAAAGTTCATATTTTTTAAGCACTAAATTTGACGAGGTATTCTATCTAAACTATTCATCCGAATTTAATCCTCTTGTAGTTTAATATTACTATTGTTAAAATATTATATTTCCTATACACGAATAATTACATTAAAAAAATTTCTTGATGGTATCTTCAATTTGTGTATTCCTTTACCAAAAATAGCTTACTGTGTCATGACCAAAAAAAAAAAATTAAGAGTGGGAAAATGAGGGGATATGAAGAAAATCAGCTTTTAGTAAAATAGCCCACATCATTTCCATATATATTTTAAAATTTCTATTTTTTTTCTAATATTTTTTTTTTTTCAAAATTTAACTATAATTAAAATACATATTTTAAAGTTCTTAAAATTTCCGACAAGTTATTCCTGTACCGAAACCCTAGTTCTATTAAATGCTATTGATAAATAAATAGTATATTGTAATTAATTTTCTGTTATTATATAAATTCTTTATACATATGTATGTATGCTAGAAAGATAACAAAAATTCCTATACTTATTTATTCCTTTTTAAAACTACATTTAACGCTTGACTTGTTACAGAAAAAGAATACATTTCAAAAGAATTTAATTATGCTTTTTTTTCAAAAGCAGCAACCCTGTGTAAGGTTTTTATGTACTTAAAAAAATGTTGCATCATTTTTCCGAACTATTAAAAAGTTAGAGGATTAAAAGATTAACAGAGTTGGTAATTCTGTTATCAAACAAATTACTACGAACTAACTAACTACTAACTAACTAACTGAACCAACTAACTAAACTAACTACTAACTAATAACTAACTAACTAACTAACTCACTAACGAACTAACTAACTAACCTAACTTAACTAACTAACTAACTAACTAACTAACTAACTAACTAACTAACTAACTAACTACTAACTAACTAACTAACTAACTAACTACTAACTAACTAACTAACTAACTAACTAACTACTAACTACTAACTAACTAACTAAACTAACTAACTAACTAACTAACTAACTAACTAACTAACTACTAACTAACTAACTAACTAACTAACTAACTAACTAACTAACTAACTAACTACTAACTAACTAACTAACTAACTAACTAACTAACTAACTAACTAACTAACTAACTAACTAACTAACTAACTAACTAACTAACTAACTACTAACTAACTAACTAACTAACTAACTAACTAACTAACTAACT